GTGTCCTAGCAGGGACTTGTTTTCTACATATGACTCAGTTGCAGGTGGAGTTGTCCAACTAGGTAACAATGTTACTTGTAACGTTATTGGCACATGTACAATTCGGGTCAGAATGCACGATGATGTAGTGAGAACTCTCACCGATGTTAGATATGTTCCTGAGTTGAAGAAAAATCCCATATCTTTAGGCACTTTAGAATCCCTTGGGTGCAANGCAAACTTCGGAATGTGGCAATTAAAGATGGAAGCTATCCTAATTCAAGATGGCTTAGACTTGGCGTTGCAAGGAAAGGAGAAGAAGCCGGATAAAATGACGGATGGGGAGTTTGTCGTCATAGACAAAAGNATCATGAAAGCACACAGATCTGGTTCGTTGTATACTTTATTGGGCTCCACTGTTATAGGCCCTATTACAGTTTCGGTATCAGACAACTTGCCTGATTTTGATGGCATTAAATTTTGACATATGCCCATTGGGGCTTTTGCGANAGAAACCACAACTAAAGGCATGTGGGAAAAATTGAAAACCTTATATATGAAGAGGACGGTGGAAAATAGACTTTACCTGAAGCAGAAACTTTATACAATTCATATGGGTGAAGGTACCTCTATTCTTTCCNTGGAGATTTGTAATTATGGCCAATATTTTGGCTAATGGAGTCCATCTCACATAAGCATAAGTATATTTGCAAAGTGTAGAATTTGTTGGCAATATTCTTTGGGACCCAAAAATATTGCATTGTGTGTTGGACATCATTTGCACAAGTTGTATCTCTTCTTTTACACCTAAGAGGCCAAGACTTTTTTGCCTATAAAAGGGAAGGCCATTAGTTCATTTTAGACACACCAACAAGACTTGTCTTCAATTCTTGTTTCTTCCTTTCTTCCTTTATTAAGAGTGTTTTGTATGAGATTTAGTGTTGGGAAGCACTTGTGTGAACCCTTTCTTTGAAGTGATCTTGTGAGGTTATTCTCTTAGGGTATTTGGGATTAATTAGAGTGTTTACTCTAATTTTGTACTCTCTTTTGTACTCTTATTGTTATAGTAAATTGTTTCTCTCCGCTTGTGGACGTAGGCCACTTTGACCGAACCACGTTAAATTTGTGTCTTCTTTATCTACTTTAATTGTCATTGCTATCAACTTCTATTGTCTTTGTTATTGCCATTATACCGGCTATATTCCGCACTACTCGGGTTCCCCATCAAAACATAATACATAGTCAACAAAGGACACGTATTCTTCATTGTAAAGTTGACAATTGAAATAGAAACTATAAAGTGAAGTCCAGAGATAGCGCCACCTTTTCGAGAAAGCATGCGTTATGAATGCCTCCTCTATCGGCATGAGAGAGAGAATGTGATGGAGAAGAGAATCCGGTAACTCACTGATTCGGTCTACAGTTGTTGAATCGTTTGAAGCCATCTTTGGTTAAGGGTTTTGATAATTTTCCGGTGGCCCTCGTTTCACCACAGCCTTCAAATCCAAATAATACTTGAAAAGATGAGATTTTTATAGTATGTCAATGGAAGAAGACATACAACACGGTGGATATGCATAGAGAAATCAAAATCAGTAGGAAATTTGAGCAGTTACCAGTAGCCCAGATTGATTAAGGAAATATCCAGAACAAACTGCTGAAATTGTATTACTCCCGACCGGCGAAGAGGCGTGACCGGAGTTGAGGAAACAGGAAAGTACTACGATTAGTATTTGATGCAATATATACTTTAAATTTGTGAACTAAATATGCTTAGCATTTCGTTCGCATTCTTCCGCTGGTTTTCCCAGGTTCCGTTGAAACACTTTCTGAATTATAAACTTAATTGTACTATAAAAGCAACAAATCAGAGTAGTGCAGCGGAAGTGTAGTGGGAACCTTCATGTCCCAGGATCGAAACCTGTCTCTGGTATGTAGTACAGTGAACTTCCGAATACCATATTTTTATCGCGTGTTTATTCCTTTTTCTATATTGTTATCTCTAAAGTAAAAAAATTTATTCGATATGACAAGAAATATTTATAGTAATTTTACTATAACTTCTAGAAAATATCAATTTTATTTCAGAAAAGTTAAAGAATATATATTCACTCACAGCAAAAATTAGATATTTTCGTTGTCATACTCCCAAGTCCCTTTTTTTGGGCACGAATGAACAACTTATCGTTTATTGCGAAGCAAGTTAAGAATTATAGTGTTTTTTTTCAAGTGAAATAATTCTCCACTACTTTTATCTATGGAGATGATATTCCCCTAGAAAAGAAAAGAACTAAAAGAACGAAGTTTCTCTTTTGTGATTTCTATTTTAATAGATAGAGATTCCGTAATCTAACTTTTCACCTTTAGTACATTCTATGAAAAATAGCTTCCAAAATTCAAATGCTTGTAGTTTTGGAATAAATTGGAAAAAGCCGAAATTGTGAATCATAATATAACTGATAATTTCAAATTTTACCTCCTCCTCTCGAAAAAATGACCTATCTAAAGTTATAGAGTTTGGAATTCGAATCACAATTTCACCTACAAAACTGTATTAAGTTACTAGAAACACTCATAATCCTAAACTTCACAAACAAAGTTTGGTGTGGTTTCTCACTAGGACTCCAAAGGGAGGCATAAAGGAAGTAAATAATAGTGGAGCAGAGAAAGACTTTCTTTTTTCTTCTTTTTTTTCCCTTTAAGTAACTAAAAAGTGGAGGGTGAATTAGCCTTTTAAGGAGAAAAAAATCCCAAAAACTCTCAGTGCATTACACTTTTTTCCACACTACTCAGAACAGAGGAAGTTTGACTAAGGAATTTACACCAATTGTCTTTTTTTCAAGCTTTGGCAATTGTACAAATGCAATCAAGCAAATAGAAACTCCGAACTTGAGGAACTTGCACTTGTGAAGAGGTTTCCGAATAGCTAAGTGGATGTTCATAAGACACAATTTACAACAGATATTGTCGGACTGCGATTAGGTTTCCAATCAAATCACTTGAACCAAGTTTTACAACAACTTGATCAAGAACAGACAGCCCTTAGGATGTGTGTAGTTTTACTAAATGCAGAATGTTGGGACACTGGACTGTAAATGCCTAATAATTTATTAATTTAGAACTTCGGCGGGTATAGTTATACAAAGAACAACAACCTCCGCACCTGCAACAAGAAACAAGATGAAGATATTCAACTAGTGACACCAAACACATGAATCTATTTTGTTGATAGTTGAGCCAGCATCAATGCTCAAGATTTAGACGTGCAAACCTGAAAGTTGCATGTAAATCAGACATAATGCAAGACAGTTTATGTCACAAATCCAGGTAAAGTACAAACAGTTGGTTGGCCTTCTTTGCCCTTACTAATAAGAAATAGTCCTGGAGATATCTCATCTCAAAAGAAAAGATAAGGCCAGAATCTTGAGAAGTAGAGGCAGAAAGGAAAAGCAAACTACTTAATACCATTATGAGCTAATGTTAAAGTAAATCATGACAGCTCCAGATGCATGGAAAAGAAAAACTTTTGACCTTGAGTTTTCAAAAATTTCACTAACCATGAACCAAGCAAAACACTGATAATAGAAAGATCAAGCAATGAAAGAAATAAATTAAAAATTATAAAAGCCAACTAGATATCGAACTTGCTATTTATGATTTATGATTTATCTCCTGCAGTATAAAAAGAACATAAGCCCACAACAAATTCCAGTACAGGAATTGGACCAAATACGAGTAACCCAAGGAGCTTAATAAAGGAGGCCGGAAAAATACAGCACAATATACTTTTCTTTGTTAATTTACGCAGTATAATCATTTAGTTTACATACCCAAAAATCATAAAACCAATGCAGACAAATGGAAGACAGATGACATAAATGGGGTAGATTAAAAACAGGAGTAAAATTAGTTAAATGAACAGAGTGTTGCTAGAATATAACATAAAACAAGCCAGATATGGTTACCTATTAAGTTTCAAACACAGATGATACTTTACCTTTAATGTCTCCTTACAAAAGCAAACAAACTTAAGCTTAATTTACAGCTGCCTAGTTTGATTGTTCTGTAACATTAGTTTGCTGTAACTTGCTTGATATTCCTCTCTTTTTGTCATTTATACGATCTACTTAAGGTATCAAATATATGTTGAAGGCCAATTGGATTGCTAAGGTACATGACAGAGATGAAGCTGGACGAAAATAAACAACCTTGTTAAAGGAGAGAAAACACAAACTGATATTATCAATCTCAGATATCTGAAGATAATATATTTAGCTTCGAAGTTTTCCAATAACATTGTTTTCTTGTCAAACCAATTGAAATTGCCAAACTAAGGACAACATTTCAAGGCCAAAAATTAAATGACCAAGTAACAAACAGTTCAAAGTTATCAGCGTAAGTTTTATTTCTTAGTAGTAGAAAGACTGAGATGATGAAAAACAAATAAAATCTTTAGAAGAAAGGGATATCCAGAGAGGAAGAAAAAGAACAAAACCTTGAAGCGCAGATCAGACAAAATATTGAAGTCCTGCATTTACTTCTTCCGTTGGTATTGCTAAGCATTTTCATGAACTAAACATCTGATATGAGTATATCAAGAATCAACAATGATACACACTTAAGGTCACCAGCGGGATCGAAGTTAAATCCTAAAAGAAATATTGTCAAACACCTATTCCTATATAACACCATTCCACCCAATTTTATTATAGTATACTACTCTATTGTATATACTATGCATTATAAAAATGCACTGGAATCATCATTATGGGCGAAGAATCAGACCAAAGGGAATGAAATACGTAGAGAAGAGGCCGAGGGGGAAGTGATGTAACGACTTAAAATAATGCCAAAAAAGTTACCTCTTCTCCTTGCTCTTTGAATTATCTCCCTGCAAAACTTTTCTGAGAAAGAATGGAACCGATGCCACTGAATTGTTTCTGGTTCTTTTGGCATGAACAATTTTTGAGTCTGGGTTTGACAAACAAGCAATATATGAAAGGCTTTCACTAAATCTCGAATATATAGTTACAAGAGAAGGCCTAAATAAAAGTAATGTTATAGTGGCACTGTCACAGTATCGTTGATTCCTAGGCATTAGAGAAGAATACACAACTTTTTGAACAAAACAAAAAACTAAATCAGAGAAGCATCAGCACTATAGTTTAGTTTGATTTTATTTTCACCTCTTCCCGACTCTTGGAACCTTTCCAGCCATGATGTTCTCAAGGTTTCTAATCCTCATCTCAAGTTTCAGAAGATCAGTCATTTCATATCTTGTGCTCCCTTTCTCATTGTTGTCAATGTTTTCCATCTGCATATTTCCTTCAGTCGTATTTATACCATTTGTAGTTACCTTAGGTGCTTCCACTGAATCATTGCTCATCTGCAAACTCATTTTAGCAGGACTAGTACTCGAAAATTCTGCATATTTGCCACAGCTCCTATTTACATTTGGTACCTCACTTGCAAGTTCTAAACTGTGAGACAAGTTGAGCTTACAGCCACCTTTTTTGCTTAATGGTTCTGGCTCCATTAGAGTCTCCCTTTCTCTGGCAGTTCCATCATTAGAAGCTGAAGAAGATTGGCTTTGGATGCTAGGTAGGGGTTCTTGATTGCCAGGTACAGTAATTTCTTTCTTCAAGAGCCTCCTTTTGCTTAAACATTCTGCAATCGGTAAATTGTCATCATCATCTGATGATTCTACAGTTCTCATTTCACAATCCTGAATATTGTCATCTGTTCTAACCTCATCAGATTTCTGTGCAAATTCACAACATACAGAGGCATTCCTCATTTTATAGCTTTCCCACGACAGTCTTGGTATCCTTTGGTGAGTTCTAGACCGTTGTCTTTTGGTTACATGCTTAACTGCATCTTCAAGTGCAAAATTTTGGTTCTTCCACCACTCCAAGTATCGTTGGGTAACATCTGACTCGAAGAGCCTAGAAGGTACATAGAGTTTGGCATCTTTAATTGGTCTACTATAATTGCTCCAAGCAATTTTTGGGTTATCAGTAGCATGATTCACACAAGCTGGCACATCTTGATCAAATCCAAATTGCATTGATACTCTATGTGGGTTGTACTGTTCTACACAATCCACTCCAACTAGTTTAGAAGCTCGAACAAATCGAGCAAAAATTAAGATTTCCCTTCCCAACTTTGGTCCAACCACCACATATTCCTCCCTTTCCTTGTAAAATTTGTTGATGTCCCAATTCTTCACAGTATCAATAACATAAGGACGCCACAGAAACAATTCTGCTGCAGAATCTACTGCTCTCCTAGGATCCACACAATTTAGTTTTTTCACCTTATGCCATCTAACTACTCTTGGCTCCCCAGAGTAGATGACACTAGGCTTAAGCAGCAAATTGGGAAATCTCTCCCAAGCCCATAACTGAACAAAATGAAGAGGAGCTCTAAGGATAAGATCTGACTCATCTTCTACACACCTAGAACTACTCTGTTCAGGATGCTTAGACGAAGATAAAATCAACTGTTTAAGCAAGTTCAAATCTCTATAAATGCTGGCAAGAACAGCGGGGGCAAGTGCCATTGGAATTCCTTGAGAAAGATAAATAGCAATAGGAAAAAGAGCTTTCTCCACAATAAGGTAACTTTTAGAAGGGATAACATACTTGGACAACCAATGGGTGATAAATGCAACATGCTCCAAATGATCACCTCTTCCTTCAAAATACTCCATCCAGGCATGGTGATTAACATTCCTTTTACTTGTTTTAATAATTTTATGAGCCTCGCAAAGAGTTTTTTCAACTTCAAAAGAATCTTTAGTTTTAACAGGTTTCAAGACACAATGGCCCCAAACAGAGTAACCACCCAAAACTACCATATCCTCCAAAGTAACAGTTGCTTCTCCCCATGGTAAAATGAATGTGTTTGTTTCCAAACACCATCTTTCAGCAAGAGCAATGATCAAATCATTGTGCATACAAATCTTGAACGTGGAAGCTATAATAGCTTCAAAGATTCCAGCTTTCTTCCATATTTCTTGATATAAAGGTTTTAACTTATTGACCCAAGTAGCCCATTCCTTCAAGTGTGAAATTGAAACACCACCCCTGAACTGAACCTTTAGTGAAGTACTCCTTCTCAGTTCTTGAATATTGGGTATTGAAGGGTGAAATGGGAACTTTTCAGCAGAGGGTAGTGTTGGTTTCAGAAAATGGGCAACTCTAAAAATGGGTATTACTTGTTTTTCATCAATGGGTGAAACCATGAGCTCTTCTCTTTCTTCCATGATTAATGCATCTTCTGATAAATCCACCATTTTTTTCAGTAACAAGAAATAGTTGTGTTGTATTCCTGCCAATTTTTGTTGCACCTGGTCTATTAGCACAAAATGCTATTTATAGGTAAAGAGTCGGTAGCTGCACTAACAACACTTTACAGAAACATGCCAAAAGAAAAAAAGAAAAAAGAAAAAATAGGAAGGGACGCAGCTGCCACATTTTCATAACAAAAAAGTGTAAAGTTTTTAAAATATTGAATTTCTTTTGACTTTTGGTGTCATATCTTTTCCGTATCTTTTAATAGTACTGTAATATTTAACTTAATAGTATCTTTTCCGTTCTTATCAAATATTCAGTCCGTTTCGATGTGAATTTATTTTTTTTTGTGCAAAAAAGAATGATCTATTTTTTTATTTGAAAATAATTTATTTTTATATAATGATTTATAGCAATACAAAATATACGTGCCTTATTTTACATCATAAATTCAAAAGTCTCTCTCTTTTCTTAAACATTGTTTCCAGTCAAATGAGTTCACATAAATTGAAACGGAAGAATTATGTTACGGTAGTACTTAGTACTAACAAAAGGTAACCAGTAAAATTCCCTTTTTTCCCGTCTACTTAATTTATTACGTATCTCAAGCAACTAATGGGGGCAAAACAAATTCTATTCTAGTATTCTTTGGTTCACCTCGTTTCATAATTTGTGTATTTATTATTATTATTATTATTATTATTATTATTATTATTTTGTATTCCCGTAATGATTTAAGTGTTGAAGTTATTTAGGGAGTGTTTGGTTCGAAGAAAATATATTTGTCGAAAAATGTTTTCCACTTTTTTCATGTTTGGTTGACTTAAATGTTTTGGAAAATGTTTTTCTCATTTTCCTTTAATTGGAAGAAAATATTTTCCAAAATACTTTTTCAACATTCCCCACCGTATTCCCCATACCCACCAACCCACCCCCATACCCCCACAAAAAAAGATAAGTGATAAAATCACTCATTTTTCATGAAAATATTTTCTAGAAAAATATTTTCCTTCATACCAAACACACCCTTAGTGTTTCAATATTAAAAATTTGCATAATCTTTCATGGTTATTATAGTGAAATTGAAAAATAGTACTCCCAAGAATCCATCACATCTTTATCTTTTTATCTTCACAAAACTTTTTTTTTTTTTTGGTCTCCTCAATAATTTATCCTTCTCATGTCTCATCATATCTCTATCACATTTTTGTTCCCAAGACTCGCTTTCTTTTCTCAAGAGTGCTTTATTTCAACATAACACTTTGTATAACATTTATATCACAAGAAGATGAAAAAGTTATTTCATTATCCTCTAATCTTAGTATATTAGTCAATAATAATTATATTAAAGAAAGAGCTTCCCACGAAGATGAAATGCCTTTCATCAAGTGGTTTATCCTTTCTATATATTTTTTCTTGATGAAATGCTTAATGCGTCCTTTTACTCACCATTTTAGATGAAATATTGCTCCTGAGTTAATGTAGTACAAAGGACAAACCACTTTATAAGAATTTATTGCTTAGGGATCAAAGAGAGGCTTCAAAATATCATCGTTCACTATGTGTGATATTTAGTTAATTAGCTCAAGTCCAATTTTCAATCACTACTATTTCTTACATCGTTTCTTATGGCTTTGTTGATTCTTGCACTTTTTGTTCCTTGTTAGTTTATTTACTGGATATGTATAGGGAGTTTGAGATTTCAATTGCTTGAGAAAGAAAGGAGAGAAACAAAATATATTTTTTTACCCACTTTGATCCATTTTTAGCTATTATTTAAAAAAATAGCATCATTTATTGTTTATTTTTTGAAGAGCACTTTTCTTTTTCATTATTAGCATATTATAAAAATTAAGCCCAACATTCATCTTCTTCACTCTATTTTTTAAACGGCAAAGGGGCAAATATACCTCTCTACTTTCGAAAATGGTTTAAGAATACCCATCGTTATACTATTGGGTTATCTATACCCCTGCAGTCATACTTTGGGTTCAAATATACCCCTCATTTAAACGGAGGGACACTTGTCATCGTCCTGTTGGCCACTTCTAAATATCTCCTAATTAATTAAAAAGACTCATTAATCATACCTGAAAAGCAAATTTTTAAAGCAATTATTTTTTGTAAAAACTAGAAAAAACTGAAATTATTTTTACTAAAAACTGGGGAAAAAATAAAAATATTTTTTTTTCAGTTTTTGCAAAAAAATGCTTTAGAAAAAACTGAAAAATATTTTCTAAAACAATGTTTTTGAAAAAACTGGAAAAAAAAACTAAAAATTAATTTTCTAAAGAAAATATTTTTGTAAAAACTGAAAAAACAATTATTTTTTTCAGTTTTTAGTTAAAAATATTTCAGTTTTTTTTAGTTTTTAATTGCTTTAGAAAATTATTTTTCAGTTTTTACAAAAATATTGTTTTAGAAAATATTTTTCAGTTTTTTTAAAGCAGTTTTTTGTAAAAACTGGAAAACAAAATATTTTCGTTTTTTTCAATTTTTAGTAAAAATATTTTTTTAGTTTTTTCCAGTTTTTACAAAATAAAAATTATTTTTCGGGTATGAATAATGAGTTTTTTTTAATTAATTAGGAGATATTTAGAATTGACCAACAGGACGATGACACGTGTCCCTCCGTTTAAATGAGGGGTATATTTGAACCCAAAGTATGACTGCAGGGGTATAGATAGCCCAATAGTATAATGAGGGGTATTCGTAGACCATTTTCGAAAGTAGATGGGTATATTTGGCTCTTTGCCCTTTTTTAAAATATGATGCATATGTGAATGCCATCTAAATTCAAGATGTATTGATTTATACGTCTTTTATACTTTGTATATCAAGTACTCCTATCACTTTAATTCAAAATGTATTTTATGTATATAATTTTTGTATATTTATTTGTGAAGTGCTATCTTATTTTAAGATATATTTTTAATGTATATTTCAAATATATTTTATATGTCAAGTGCCATTTTAATTCAAGACGTATTTTTTATATATATGTTTTTTGTATACTTATATGCCATCTTAGTTAAATTTAAGATATAGTTTTTATGTATATTTTACATGTCTAAGTGTCATCTTAATTGAAGATGTATTTTTTATGTATATTTTTT